CCGTCGCCCCCGCCCCGGGAAGGCGCGCCCGGAGCTGCAGCGGGACCCCCTGGAGGGGGTCGGGTGCGCCCCGTCCCGCCTGGGGTGAGGGAGCCCGTGGCCGGGGGGGGCGAGGGGCCCAGGTCAGCCCCGGCGTCCGGGCCCCCTGCGCGGCCGCTCCCCTGGCGCGCCGGCCGCCACCTCCGCTCAGCGCGGCGCCGACCCGGAGGACGGGGAGGGCGGGCATCGGGAGGCCCCTGCAACGCTCCCGCGGGCGCCGAGGGAAATCCTTTCAAGTGAAAGGATCTTCCCCAAATCTCTGGTTCCCCAGTGAGTCCTGGCGTACGGCCTGCTCCTCCTCCTCGAACAAGACCTAAACGGCTTGGGTCCTGGTTACCTGAAGGAGCTCTTACATCCATATATGCCCGGCCGCCCCCTGAGATCTGCGGGAGAGGCCCTTCTCCGGGAACCCTCCGTGAAAGAAATTAGGAGGGTGGGTACTCGGAGGAGGGCCTTCTCTGCGGTGGCGCCTAAGTTATGGAATGCGCTCCCCAGAGAGGTCCGCCTGGCGCTGTTGTTGCTTGTTTTTTGGCGCCAGGCGAAGACCTTTTTATTTAAGCGGCATTTTAACTGTTAGTATTACTAGATTTTATCTGACCAGGGAGGCTTATTTTATATTGTATTTTTGTATTTTTAATTTAATGTTTATATTTATTGTAATTTTTATTATAATTACTTTTAATTTATTGTTGTAAGCCGCCCCGAGGCTTCGGCGAATGGGGCGGCATAAAAATGTTTAAATAAATAAATAGATAGATAGATAGATAGACTTGTTCACTCGCTGGAGTCCTGCTCCTTTCACCATGTTCTGACAGTATCTAATTCCTTAACAGAACCTCCTCTTGCCTCCACAGACCCTTTGCAGCACCATGTCGTACGGTACTTTTGGCCAACATATCAAGCGAGAAGAGTGTTTCTGGCCCCCCTTGGAGCTTTCCTTGGCACATAGATCAGTGCTGACAAACCCAAACCCAGGTAGCCGTGCAGGAGAAGAAGGTCCTGCTGCCACGGAGACCAGGAGCAGAGGCGGCTTCCGGGGAAGGATGGACCAGAAGGTCTTCCTTGAAGATGTGGCGAGCTCAGACATACTGCGCCAGTGTTTCAGGGGCCTCCACTACCAGGCTGCTGAGGGGCCCCGAGAGGCTTGCAGCCAACTCCACCGACTTTCCCGGGAGTGGCTGAGGCCAGAGCAACACACCAAAGCCCAAATCCTGGACCTGGTGGTCCTGGAGCAGTTCCTGGCCATCCTGCCAGCGGAGATGGCGAACTGGGTGAGGGAGTGTGGAGCAGAGAGCAGTTCCCAGGCGGTGGCCCTGGCGGAGGGCTTCCTCCTGAGCCAGTTGGTGGAGAACAAATTGGAAGAGGGGCAGGTGAGAATATTGGTCATGGGCTCAAGGATGTGAGAGAAGATATGCCCAAACTCTCTGGGAATTTGAGGAGAAATCCCCCTATCTCACTTCCAATATTTTTGCATCTCTCTCGCCTTTTCTAATTCTTCTCATTCCACGTCTTGGATTTATGCTGCTATTCCAGGTGAAGAATCTGTTTGTAGATGTGGGACCTGATTTCCCTGCAGCAGAGAGAGCTGTCTCAGGCACTGAACTGCGTCTACCAGAAACCGAGGTCAAGCGGGAGCGAGATGGCTGCCTCTCCTTTCAGGGTAAGGATTACTACGGTGGTGGCCTTTCCAGTCGCCAGGTCAGTGTGCATGTGTGGCTTTTGTGGGGCAGAATCTGGTCTCTGCTTTTCCGCTATTTGAATCTGTATCTAATTTTGAACCCATGGGGACTGCATACAGTCCAACGACCATTTGACTTTTGCCTATGGGCCCGAATGGACAACCATGCAATTCTAAAAGTGCAAATCCTGTAATACTCATGTGTACCTAGACATCCATTGCTTGCAGTGCAATTCTGTGCATTCAGCTGGAGAGTCGGTTCTCTTGGTGGGCATGTCATGAACGGAGCCAGCTGGAGCCGGGGTCAGACTAGATGGCCTGGGAGAATCCTTCTGACTCACTCAGTTTCTGTGTTTCTGTGTTTCAATGTCTCATCTTCCGGGGGTGCCTTCCCACAAGTTTAGGATTATCCTCTCAGTCCCCTACAAGCTTCCCATCTATTTTGTCTTTCGTAGGAGCAGGCATTTTGGCAGAAATGGATACCCATCCAACTCTTTTTCTTCAAGAAGGAGCGAAACTGGATCAGGTAAGGGAAAGTTTCTCTTAGGAGAGAGGCAGCAACCAGCCACAACATTCGATTGTCTGCTCCCCTTCTAGGGGGCAAATACTTATTATTTATTAGATTTCTGTCCTTCCCAAAGCTGAAATGTCTCTCTGGATGGATTACAAAATATAATTAAACAATAGTGCCTATATATGTAATAAAGCAATAATATTAACTAACATTACATTAGAATCACAACAATCAGACAGAAAAAACCCACAATAAAATATCAAAATATCGTGAATTATTAAATCAGTAATAAGACACAATAAAGAGACACTGTCGCACTAAGGTATCATTTGTTGTTGTTGTTAGTTGTGAAGTCGAATCTGACCCATCGCGACTCCATGGACAACACTCCTCCAGGCCTTCCTGTCCTCCACCATCCCCCGGAGTCCACCTAAGCTCACACGGACTGCTTCAGTGACTCCATCCAGCCACCTCAGCCTCTGCCATCTCCTCCTCCTTTTGCCCTCAATTGTTCCCAGCATTAGGCTCTTCTCCAGGGAGTCCTTCCTTCTCATTAGGTGGCCAAAGTATTTGAGTCTCATCGTCAGTATCTGTCCTTCTAAGGAGCAGTCAGAGTTAATCTCCTCTAGGACTGACCGGTTTGATCGCCTTGCGGTCCAAGGGACTCGCAGGAGTCTTCTCCAACATGACAATTGAAAGACCTAAATTCTTTGGTGCTCAGCCTTCCTTGTGGTCCAGCTTTCACAGCCATGCCTTGCTACTGGGAAAACCATAGCCTTGACTACACGCACTTTTGCTGGCAGGGTGGTGTGTCTGCTTTTTAGTATGGTGTCTAGATTTGCCATAGCTTTCCTTCCAAGGAGCAAGCGTCTTTAATTTTTTGGTTGCAGTCCCCATCCGTGGTGATCATGGCGCCCAGGAAAATAAAATCTATCACTACCTCCATTTCTTCCTCATCAATTTGCCAGGATGTTAGAGGACCGGATGCCATACTGTTAGTTTTCTTAATGTTGAGTTTCAAGCCTACTTTTGCACTCTCCTCCTTCACCCGCATCAAGAGGCTCTTTAGTTCCTCTTCACTTTCTGCCATGAGAGTGGTATCATCTGCATATCTGAGGTTGTTGACATTTCTCCCAGCAATCTTAATTCCAACTGGTGATTCATCTAGCTCTGCCTTTCTCATGATGTGCTCTGTATATAAGTGAAATGGGCAGGGCGACAGTATACAGCCTTGCCAAACTCCTTTCTCAATTTTGAATCAATCAGTGGTTCCGTGTCCAGTTGTTGTTGTTGTTGTTATTATTATTATTATTATTATTATTATTATTATTATTATTAT